CAAAGTAGTTTCTTTTTCATTTAAGTCAACAAAAATACCAAGTAAAAATAGTTGAGGTGTAAACTTTATCTTTTTTCTAAAAATCTTTTGAATGTTCCACCAAATCATAATCCAAAAAGCCTTTACTTTTTTACAATTCCACCAAATATGAAAGTATGTTGCATCATTATTGCCACATCTCCAACATTTGGGCTGTATATTGGAATACATACAAGATAATTTTTTAGGATCTAAGTGCCATCTATAGAACATTTTATAAAAATTTTCTCTCAAATTTTGAGCTTGTGTGAATTTAACATTTCTTATCCAAATTGTCTCCCATAAATCCAATGAGATCGGCTCCTGTATATTCTGAGCCCATTTAATCATACAGTCTTTAACCAATTCTGTTTCTGAATCTAACTCTAATAAAACATTGTATATTCTTTTTATATGAGCCGGACTTTGATTTTTAATCTGAATAACCAATTGTCTATCTTCTAATGTTATTCCCTCTTTCTTATCTACAGTCCATCTGTCCGCTATTTGTAAATATTGAAACCATGACTGTAGAATATTTTGCTGCCTTAATACATCTAGGGATTTCAAATGCCAATTCGAACCAGAGCAAATTAACAATTCTTTATACGAGATTTTGTCAAAATTTGTCCCCTTAGAAGTTCCCTCAATTGCATGTCTGGGAATCCCCCAGATAGGTATTTTATAATTTAATCTATAATAATACTTCTTCCAAAGACGAAGTAAGGCATTGGTAATTGTTGATAGCCTGTGCCAGATCTAGCTTTGCAAAAACTCGCCTCCCTTTGAGGGAAGCCAAGATATGGCTGACTACTAGTACTGGGTACGCGTGCTGTTGCAGCGCCTTGTTTAGTGTGCACTTGTAGTCTGCACATATACGTATGTCCCCATTAGCCTTGAGAGGCGTTACTATGGGGGTTTCCCATGGACTTGAATCCACAGGTTCTAAAATGCCTTGCTGGATCAATTTATCCAGCTCAGCATCAATCTTGCCCTTAAGTGCGAAGGGTACTCTTCTAGCCTTAAACCTGATGGGTGTGATGGTTGGATCTAACCTCAATGAAACTGGAGGCCCCTTATAGGACCCAAGCTATGGACTAAACACATCTGCAAACTCTTCACAGACTTCTGCTAGGCTCAGCATTTGCAAATGTTATAGCCCAGTAACCTGGATTCCCAAGGCCTCAAACCAATCGAGTCCTATAAGACTCATTCATTCACCCCCAACAACCAACACATCTAATGGGCCCTCAAACTCCTTGTGTTGCACTGTAAGGGTGGCCTCCCCCTTTACACACACCTTGGAATTTTGAAAATCTGTTAGTATTATGTTGGATGGCCTCAGTTTGGCTTGAAAACCACTGCTGTTGCAAATCTTTCTAAATGTATGAATGGAAATAATGGAAAGAGTGGACCCAGTGTCCAGCTCCATGGCTACAGGAACCCCTTGCAACCTAACCTTAAGTGACAGTTTTTTCTTGAGGGGTTTGTGTGTACCTGTTCTCCAAATACTCCTGCGCAACATGCAGAAACCCCCCCTATTTTGGCTGGGGACCCTGGTACCTTTCAGACACAATTTTTCTTGAGGTTGTACCTTCTGGCAACCCAAACAGATGGATGCTATGTGGCCTTGTCTGCCACACGCTCTACAGATGGCAGAACGGAACCCACAGTCTTATGGTGACCTCCACACCCGAAGCATTTGGGCGCTGTTGGGGCTTTTTCTTTGCCTTCCTTCTGCCTTCTTTCTGCTGACTGGTAAAGCCGATCCACCTCTTCTTCAGGATCTTCCTCCAATCCTTCTTGGACGCCCTCATGGTGAATGGTGACTGTCTCCAGATTGTTTCTGATGGGCCGCATGTTCTTGACTGCCCCACCTGCTGCTTCCTCAGCCGTCACCTCTCTTAGAGCATCTTGAAACGAGATATCTTTCTTTGCAAAGATCCTCTGTTGTAAGTTCCTGTTCCTTAGACTGCATACAAAACGGTCTCTCAGCCTTTCTTCCAGATCTTTGAATTCACATGGTTTGGCTACTCTTCTCAAGGCCGCAATAATCTCCTTGGCTGATTCACCTGCCCTCTGGTCCCTCTGTTCAAACGTGTGTCTCCACACAATAACAGACATCTTGGGCTGGAAATGTTCTTTCAATAGCTTCTTTAAGTCTGTGTACATTACAGACTCCAGAGGAGCAGGGGCCGCCAGATTTTCTGCAATTTCAAATGCGTCCTGACCACAGACACACAACAGAGTTGCAGTCTTCAAGCCGTCTTCTCTGACCTGGTTTACTCTGAAGTAGTTTTCTACTCTTGCAACGTAAGACTCCCATCTCTCTGGGTGTGAAACATCAAATTCAGATAAGCGACCTATCTTCATCATCCTTGCTTCTTTTCTTGGGAAGGAGTCAATCAGCCGAGCTTACCTCCAGCAATGCTGTACTGGCAGGCTAGAATGCTGAGTTTAACGCCGTCTTCCCTTCTTCAGGACTCCTTGGATAAATCTTTACAGCTTTTCTTCTTTCAAGCTTGCAAGATCCCACCTTTGTCGCCAGTGTTAAGTCCTTCGTTCAATGACGAATGAAGATCACACATGTTAGAAGTAATGGTTCTTTATTTCTCCTTCTGCTCACTACAATAACAACAGTGAGACTTGCAGGTCTCCGCTTTTGTGTCCGGATCCCTGGGCAAAAAGACTACAGTTAATGGCGCGCTTCCATGCCTCGCACATGCGTGCAAGGCTGGCGCCTCTCAGTCTGGTCCTGGGCAGCTTGCAGCAATCCCGGGACCATAGCAATGTCCTGAGCCTGCTTTTGCAGGCTCAGGACACAACACTAATTACATATTGTAACTATGTACTTAAGGCAAACATAGGTTTCAACCCAGTATCATTTCCCTTTATATTTAAGAGATGTTATTTAACTAAGAGAAGTTAACAATGTTAATACATTTCATTTCTTTTGCATTGCTGTAAAGATATTGCTAATAATTCCTTAAGGAATGTAGGCATTAGCTATTCTGAAGTTCTGTGTAAATCTTCAGAAAGCAGTGTTTAGCATTTTTACTTTTAACCCTTAAATATTTTTCTTAGATCAATCTTGTACAATGGAGAATTGGAGCAATAGAAGACACTGTATAATTTAAACAGTCTGGTTCAAAAACTGGCTATTTTTGTATTGGATCAGAAATTAATATTTGGGGCACATTTTTTCTATTTGGTATTTGACTATTGGAGATTTTGATTTATTACCTGCCAGCATCTAATAAAAATTATTTCTACAGTGCATTCTATACTGCTTATTTTATGCCTATAAAGATGTTATTGAGCAAAATAGGACTGGGCTTCTTTTCTTCTGCTACCGTACATCCATTTGTTAAAAATAATTATATTAAATAGCTCTTTAAAAAAAACTTGTACATATTTTTTACTTTTTTATTAATTTTCTATTATTACATTTGATTAGTGCTTAATAAACAACATGTCTGGGTTAATTTGTTTGCTTAATAACACAAGTTACATTCTTATCTCTACCTCTTTTTTTCAACCATTGATAAAATAAATTCCATGTTTGAAAATATTCTGTATCTTCTTTCTCTTTGATTCTCAATGTAAGTCTGTCCATTTCAACACAGTCCAATATTTTCTTGATTATCTCTTCATCTAGTGGTGTTTCTTCATTCTTCCAATGCTGAGCAAATACAATCCTCGCTTCTGTACATGCAATAAATTTTTCAGGTTTAAAATCTACATGTTTTCCTAACATCTTTTCTAACCAAATGTGTATTTTTGTCCAATTTTTTTTTTTTTTTTTTTTTTTTGCTTTAACACAGGTCCACCACAAATGATAATATGATTTTTGGTTACATTTCCAACGTTTACTAATATTTTTAAATATTTTTGCTAACCTAGCAGGTGTAAGTGCCATCTATAAAACATACAAGTTTTCTTGATAAGAAGTTGAATTGTCAATTTATAATTTCTTTCCCAAAGATTTTGCCATTTCTCTAATTCTATATTATATTCAAACTTTTTTGCCTATTGTATCATTGTATCTTTCACTTGTTCATCCTCCATTTTCAAATTTAATAGAAAGTTATATAGTTTCTTAATCAGTTTTTCATCGGAGGTCAACAATATCTGATCAAATATTGTCTGTTGTTTATAAAAGCCATATATTTTTGCAACTTTATCATATTTCAGTTGCTTTTGCAATTGAGGCCACCATGATAATTCAATGCCCTGGTCTAAAAGCTCTTGTTTAGATTTTATTTTCCCTTCAATATCCAAAATATCCCTATATGTTATTTTTTTTTCATATTGCACCAAACCTGTACACATTTTGATATAGGTAGTTGTGTGTATTGAATTCAAGAATCAGCTCTGATTTCAGATATTAATTCCACTTTCCAAAGAAAGAAATCTGCTCAGAAATAGAATTAGATATTACAGTTTTAGATTTGTCATTTTGTCATTTGAACTGTAGATTAACAGATGCAAATCAGAAATTTGAAACTTTGGGTGTGTGAATAGACTCTGCCCCAATCCCTAGCTGATCAGCCTTATTTTAAAAGCAAGTACTGCAAAGTTTTCCAGTTTGTCTCTCTGGATTCTGTCTGCTTATTCAGAGCACAGATTGCTTAATGGTCTGCGTATTTCCTGTTTATGTTCATTTAAATGCACAAAAGTATTAAGAACCAATAGCAAGCAGAGTTAATAAATCTCCATTGTCACATGGTAAGAACAGAGGTGGAGAACAAACACTTGTTATATTGGCTGTGTAGGTATCAGAAAAAAATTTTTTTAACACTCTTTGAAAACCAAATGGCAGATGGCTAAACTTTTAATTAGGGCAGCTAATAACAAATTGCCAATAAATTTCAAAGCCAAAACCAATGAAGAGCTGTTTATGTCAGCTGCTTTGTTATTACCAGGGGTTAAGGAAAATGCTTTTGAGGCATATGGGTCAATTTTTCTGTATTGTATTTCAGGTGACAATATCTGTACCACAAGAGGAGCGAGTTCGTGTCAACAGTGCCTGGCTGTAAATCCACGTTGTGCTTGGTGTTCCGAGGTGGTGAGTCAAAACCAAACCTATACTATAGCATAATAAACACTTGTCATCAAATATTTAAAAGATATTCAATGCAAATTTATTATTTTTTTGTACACGAAACAGAACAGACACAAAGGCTTTGAATTACTGCTACCAGTAACAAAGCAGGGTGTAGCCAAGTTTGAAAAATGCTGTCCTATAGCCTTTGCCTCAGATTCTTTTATGGAGGAAAAAGTGCCAAAGAAAGAGTGGAGAAATAAGAGAGATACTGGTGAAATATTGCACCATCTAGACCTCTGATAAAAAAAATATGAGTTTCAGGCAGGCTGCTGCACAATAAAAACCTTGTATGGCAGCATGCCCAGATTCAGCTATCTGTAATGAAACCTGCTGACCAACTGTGTAATAAATTATATATTTAAGTAACAGAGTAATAGGTAAAACCCATAGGATGGAGAAGCCAGATAAAAACACTGGGCAGATTAAAATATTCAAATGTTATTATTGGAGAGTTACCATACAAGACCTTTGTCGGTATTTCTAAGGACAACTGACATCTCAGGAAGCTTATATTTCAGATGCCCAGAGATTGTGGAAGAATGTATTTCATCAGTAATGGTTTTGAATCATCCATAATTGGGTAGCCTTTGCTAATAGCTATTCATGCCTGGGTCATTGCTTGAATCGACTATTGTAATGCATTCTAAATGGGGTTGCCCTTGAAGAATATCTAGAAACTTCAACTGGTACAAAATGTAGCAGAACGGATAGTTATGGGTGCCCCTAGAGTGGCACATATCTGTGAACTGCATTAGTTGCCAGTTTGCTATTGAGTGCAATTCAAGGTACTGGTTTTGACATTCAAAGCTCTACATAATGCCAGAGCCAATGTATTTGAGGGACTGCCTCTTCCTGATTATATCTACCAATCCCATTAGGTCAGGTGGGAAAAGCATGATACATGTCACATCTGCTAAGGAAAGCCATTTGATGGGACTCAGGATGCATGCCTTTTCTGACATGGCACCCGCACTTTGGAACATCCCCCTCTAGGTCAGATTAGGTCTTTCAGAAATGTGGGTTTTTTCCAGGAGACTGGAAAAATGTGGGTTTTTTCCAGGAGACTTTGAGAAAAGGAACCCCATGAGGTAGTTCTATTATGTTTGAATTTACTGCCTGCATTAAAACAACATGCATTTCCCATGTTGGATGTATGTTTCTTGTTTTTTGCGGGGTGATTTCAAGATGCATTCTAATTGTTTTGCTTAATGTGGATCACCTGGAGCAGGGGTAGGCAACCTTGGCTCTTTTATGACTCATGGACTTCAACTCCCAGAATTCATGAGCCAGGCATGCTGAGGGGAAAGGGAGAGGTTTCCAAGCTGAGCCATGCTGGCTCAGGAATTCTGGGAGTTGAAGTCCATGAGTCATAAAAGAGCCAAGGTTGCCTACCCCTCGCCTAGAGCATGTGGCTCTTTGAGCCTTCTTCTGTAGCTCCCAGCCTCCTCTGTCATTTGCAGAGAGAGAGAGAGACAGAGACAGAGAAAGGCACGTGCTTCCCTTCTCTCTCTCTCTCTCTCTCTCTCTCTCTCTCTCTCTCTCTCTTTCTCTCTCTTTCTCTCTCTCTCTCTGTAAAAAAGAGAATGTCTTCACCCTATTCTCCGATGAGCTGACAAGCTTATTGGACGGGGCTCCTCCCTTTGCTGCATCTCTGCAGGAAGCAGGAAGGGCAAGAGAGAGCCAGCCCAATAATGTGTGTCAGCTTGTTGGAGAAGAGCCTGAAGCCAGCTTGCCAGGTGAGCAGAAGATCAGAGAGAGGGGGGAGAGAAGGGGGGGAGAGAAAGAGAGAGAGAGAGAAAGAAAAAAACAGAAGGAGAGAGAGAAAGAGAGAGAGGGAGAGAGAAAAGGAGAGAGAGAGAGGGAGAGAGAAAAAGAGGGAGAGAGAGAAAGAGAGAGAGGGAGAGGAGAGGGAGGGAGAGAAAGAGAGGAAAGAAAGAGAGAGAGAGAAAAGACACAGAGAGGAAAGAGAACGAGAGAGAAAGAGAGAGGGAGAGAGAGAAAGAGAGAGAGGGAAAAGAGAAAAAAAAGAGAGGGAGAGGAGAGAGAGAGAAAAAAGAGAGGAAAGAGAGAGGGAGAGGGAGAGGAAAGAGAGAGAAAGAGAGAGGAAAGAGAAAGAGAGAGAAGAAATGGAAAGAAAGAAAGAGAGTGAGAGGAAAGATAGAGAAAGAGAGGGGGAGAGAGAGGAAAGAGAGAGAAAGAGAGAGAGGGGGAGAGAGGGGAGAGAGAGAGAGAGAGAGAGAGAGAGAGAGAGAGAGAGAGAGAGAGAGAATTCATGCACAACAGCCTCTATTTCTTTTTAATTAAACTCTTCAATCAAGCTCCCTGCACAAGTTTTGATGCTCCCGGTGTTTTCTTTTCTCTGGGAAATGGGTTGAAGTGGCTCTTTGAGTGTTTAAGGTTGCAGACCCCTGACCTAGACTATTCTTGTAAAATAGATAGCTATGTACATTTGATATATAAATAAATTTACATGTAGAGCCCAGCTATTTTCTTTTCCATTATAGCTCAGTTGTTATATATACCATAGTGACCTTACAACACCTATCCTCAGCTAGTGTTCTATATTATTAATCAATGTGGAATGTGTCATTTTACCAGCCTTTCATTATTTTTTCAGTTAAAATGGTAAAATATTTCAGCCATGCTTAACATATATTAATATATTTGTGCACTAGTGTATAGTGTTTCCTGATCTTTATTCTGCTTATTAATATTCTTGCTCTTTTGATTAAAGTATCTCACAAACAAATAAAAACATTTTTAAATCACCCAAGCATCCAGATTTTATCTTCCTTTTCCTTACACTGTGGCAATTTAACAAGCTACAGTATTAACGGAATATTATAGAAAGTCTACACTGGAAAAAATATAACAAATTAGTTGCAGCGGTCTTGTAGTTTGCAGTAGAAGAATTATGGTTGAATAACTCTCAAAAATACATAGTAAAGGAGAGTGAAATGCTACATGTAAAAAAAATCTAAAGAATGCATTTCTTTTAAATCATGAAAACCCAATTAACAGTGGAGTCCTCTTAAAGTATTTAAAGAATGCTTTTCCATGGCTGTTAAATCCCAAGAAGCAGGGACTTTTGGCTCTAATCTGCCAGGAATAGGAGAAGATTTTAAAAGAGAAGCAAAGTATCCCCTATCCATTTCTCTAGAGCCTTTTGATTATGTTCCCAGAATTTTTTCAGTTTAAAAAAGCGTGTCTTCTCATTGAAAGTTTCTTTATTGCTCGAATAATTGTAAGTTGCTTCACCAAGTAGCTTTATTGTTGTTTTCCACCAAGATTAAACACCATGGAATAAAAGCTCAATGATATTGTACAGAACACAGAGTTTGAAGAGCATTTGGCAAGCATATCCCACTAGTGAGATATTAAAAGAATCATACACAATGACCCCTAAAATGCATTCATTCTTTATGAGCAGCCAGAAAACATAGGCAATTTCAGAAGCCACTAGTGAACTCCAAAAAGCTGTTTGGTATCATTTGGGAGGCAAAAAAATGCATTTTTTAGTATTTCTTCATCACTGAGAAGTAAACTTGTTATTTATCATACAATTTTCCTTTCTATGAATATGTGCAGTTTCTGGTTCTATTTCCTGGTGTTTTAAGGTTTGTAGATTATTGAATGATGACCCAAATAAAGAAACATTACGGTCTCATAATCTCTGGAAAATCTTCAAAATTCTTTAAAGACAAGATTACATGGAGAAGATTTCTAAAGAGAGCAGTATCTGTGCCTGCTGATATATATATATATATATATATATATATATATATATATATATATATATATATATATATATATATTGAAAATTTTTAGATTTTACAAAACAATACAAATCCCTTCCCCGAACCCCCCCAACCCTCCCCTACCCTCCCCCAACCTTCCCAGAGCTGAATACAGGCTTAATTAAAAAAATTTCAAAAAGTCTTAAAACAGATATAAACCATAAATAAGTCTAAGTACATTAATTAAACAAATTATAAAATAGTTAACAATAATATATGTATAAAAAGACGAAAATACAAGGAAATACAAGAAAATAGAAAAAAAGAAAAAGAAAAGAAGAAAAAAAAAGAAAAAAGAAAAAAGAAAAAAATTCTAAAAAGTCTATAAAATCTATGAAATATCTTAAGTTTTAAATATAAGTTATTGAAAAGCTAAATAATATTTTTTTATATCCAACTTATATTGTATAAAGTCTATCCATTTTTTCCATACCAAAAAATACTTCTCTTGCGATTGGTCTTTCAAGAAAGCCGAAATCTTTGCCATTTCCGCCAAATAAGAAACTTTAAAAAACCACTCTTGCAAAGTAGGCAAAGATTCCTTCTTCCAACATTGCCCTACTAACAACTTTGCTGCTGTGATTAAATTTAATATCAATGTAGTCTCTTTAGTATCACAATCAGAAACAATACCTAACAAAAACAATTGTGGGATAAATTTTACCCTTCTTCTAAAAATTCTTTGGATATTCCACCATATCTTAATCCAAAAATCTTTTATATTTTTACATGACCACCAAATATGATAATAAGTAGCATCCAAACATCCACATCTCCAACATTTAGGCTGTAAGTCAGGATACATACGAGACATTTTTTGTGGATCAAGGTGCCATTTATAAAACATTTTATAAAAATTTTCCCTTAAATTTTGGGCTTGTGTAAATTTAACATTCCTCACCCAAATAATTTCCCAAGTATCTAATAGAACCGGTTCTTCAAAATTTTGTGCCCATTTGACCATACATTCTTTAACTAATTCTGCTTCTGAATCCAATTCTACTAACACCCCATAGATTCTCTTAATATGGGTTCATCTTTGATCTTTTATTTGTTTTAATAAATTCTCATCTTCTCTAAGTAAACCCACATTACGATCTATCTTCCACCTCTCCACTATTTGTCTATAATAAAACTATGAATAAATAATATTTTCTTGTATTA